TCATAACAAGGCTGTTGTTCCTCTAGGCCAGAGAAGCAAACTTCTTCTGTGAAAGGTGAGAGAGTAAATATTTCAGGCTTTTTAGTCCATGTAAGGTCTCTGTCACGTGTTCTCTTGCTCCTGCTCCTGCTCTTCCTCCTCATTTTTTAAAAATTAAAAAAAAAAAAAACATAAAACACATTCTTAGCTCTTGGGTAATACAAAGCAGGAGGTTACTGCTTGCTTGATTTGGCTTGCTTAGCGGGACAGTTTGTGTGCCCTTAGTTTAGAAAGGAGAAACTGATTAGCATCTATTTAGGACACAGAACTGATAGGACTTGCTGATAAACTGGCTGAGGGGTGGTGAAAGAAAGAGGAAGCAAGAAGGGTCTCAGTGATTGGGTAGAAGGTGGTGCTACTTACAGAGATGAGGAGGAAGCCAATTTAAGAGGGGTGGGAGGGAATCAAGAGTTAAGTGTGAGTTGCCTATTAGTCCTCTAAGTGGAGTTGTCCAGTTGGGAGCTCAGTGTAGACGCTGGAGCCTAGGGGAGAGGTCAGGCTGGAGACCCACATTTTGAGCCTATCGATGCATTTAAAGTAAGGGCATTGGATGTCACACAGAGTGCTGCACAAATGTTCAAGGACCAGGTCCCAGGGGAATCCAACAATTAGAGGACCCATTAAAGAGATCCTTGGAATTACTCTCTGGGTCAAAGAGCATGACACATGACAAATATTGCCAAATTGCCTTCCAAAGGGGTCTTTTGTATCTTCACAGAACCCATCTTGTCTTAGCTATGTAAACACACGCTGTGAGTAGGACTGTAAACACAAATGGGCAGGGACACTGGGGTTAGCAATCCTTGATGGCTTGTGCACGGTGCTGGGTAGCCTCAAGCCACACTGGAGGATTCAACTGGTTCCAGGAGGCAGCAGCAGAGGACCGAAGCGCTTCCGAGGAGTCCCAGCCACAGATTTGCCCAGCAAGCTTGTGATAAGTGCCAATTTTTAATAAGAGCTTCTGATTCACTCACTGTCTGGGTGAGGTATGTTTTAAACACGTTCCCTTTAATACGAAGGAAAAGTTGAGAAACCTGTGGCTTAGGGATAGACTGGGGTGGGTCCTCATGACGTTTTTGGGAATCTTAGGTGGGTCTGGCTGGGGAAGTTTCAGGATGATGCGGTGACAGAGGACTGCTGGCCAGGAAGAACCATTTGCTTTGGGTGTGGGATGCTTTCCATTTGATCTCCAATTCCAGATGAGGCCTTCCATTCATACAGGTGTAAATGGTATTGTTTTAGTCAGCTTTTTCGCTGCTGTTATTTAAGAGCTCGTGGTTCCAGAGGACTTAGTCCATAGAAGGCTAGTTCCATTTCTCAGGGCTCGTGGTGAGGCTGAACATCATGGTGGGAGAATGTGGCAGAGAGAAGCAGCTCACAATTCTGTGAAGCTGGAATCAGGATGCAGAGAGACACCACTAGTCAGATACAAATATATACCCAAAGCCACACCCCCACTCCCACCTCCTCCAGCTACACTCTACCACTTCAAGTTACCACTCAGTTAATCCCTATTAGGGAATTAAATCACTAATTGGGTTGAGACTCTCACAACCCAATCATTTCTCCTTTGAACCTTCTTTCATTATCTCACATATGAACTTTTGTTTCACATCCAGACCATAATAGGTATCTTCCTTAAAGCAAGTACAGAGTTTAAAAATTTGGGTTCCCTAGAGGTCTTTATCCATCTTCTAACTCTACAGCATAAAGGGAGATTTTGTTGTGGTTTTTCCTGGGTCTTTATATGGCAACAAGAACACGCTTCTCAAGGAAAAAAAAGATACGCATAATGTTGGTAAAACAGAAATCATACCTATGCTTATGATAGATTATGGATTAAATAAATTTGTGTGGAAATAGCAAATGAATACTAAGAAGGAATCTACTGTTAGGCCTTCGGCTAGGAGCCCAGGAACCAGTTTTGCTTTCATGGAACCATTATTCATTGAGCCTAAGTGCCAGGCCCTCTTTTAGGTTAAGAAGATAAACAGTGAACAAAATAGACAAAAACCCTTGCCCTCTCAAACAGATATTCAAATGAGGGAGACAGAACAGTAAACGCCATCAATTAATAAAAGGTATGTTACACTAGATAGGGGTGAGAGCCAAGAGACAGACCAAGGACAGAAGGCAGAGACAGGAGGTGTGTGGGGGGGTCAGGGATAAGGTAGAAGAGAGGAGAAGAAAGGACTTGATGTAGCTCAGTGGTAGAGCGCTGGACTGGCATGTGTGAGACCCTGGATTCAGACTCCAGAAATGGGGGAGGGGTGGGCTTGAGAGCTGGGACATAGGAAAATAACTCAATTTCTCCAAGCCTTAGTTTTTTTCATCTGTAAAATAAGGAATAAAAGTGGGGCACAGTGGTGCATCCTGTAATCCCAGCTACCCTCTAAATATAAAATAAAAAGGGCTGGGTTGTAGCTGTAATAGAGCACCCCTGGGTTCAATCCCAGTACCAGGATGGTGGCGAGGGAAATAACGCCTTCCTGACGAAGATACAGGCATTTGTCACGACTCAGTTAAGGGATTTGGGGTACTGACAAATATTATTTGAGCTGTTCTTAACTTTCTTCTGAAGTAGACCCTGATTTGAACTTTCATGTTTGTGCCTTGTCCAAGTTTAGCAAGAATCCTGCTAAGGGGCCAGGTATGGTGACACACACCTATATTCCCAGCAGCTCAGCAGGTTAAGGCAGGAGGATTGAAGTTCAAAGCCAGCCTCAGCAATTTAGTGGGGCCCTCAACAACTAAGCAAGAGTCTGTTTCAAAAAAAAAAAAAGCGTGGGGGGGGGGGTTGTAGCTCAGTGGCAGAGTGCTTGCCTCCCACATGTGAAGCACTAGATTTGATCCTCAGCACCACATAAAAAAATTAATAAACAAAGATATAAAAAAGGAGGGTGGCTGGAGATGTGGTTCAGTGGTTAAGCACCCCTGGGCTCAATCCCAGGTGCCCCCCCCCCAAAAAAAAAGAGAAAAATCTTGCTAAGTCAGTTTAGCCAGATTCTCCTCTCACCCATGATTTGCCTCTTAGTAATTTTCCACCCACTGAGTCCCATTCTGATCCTTGGCTATGAATTCCTATTTTTCCTTGTTTTCAAAGTTGAGGCTGATGTCTCTCCTCCACTACAAAACCCCACTATATCAGTGCATGTGTATCAATCTCCACAGTCCCCTTCTATTCTATTAAGTGTCATGAATATTTTTTTCTTTAACTGTATAAAAGTTCTTGGAGTCTTGGAACTTCAGTTTCTTCATCTGTAAAATGAGAAAACTTGTCCAGATTATTTCACAGTGGTTTTGAAAATATCAAATCAGATCATTAAGACATGTGAAAATATTTCAAAATGTATAATCTATTATGTAAACATAAGATGAAAACACAAAATACACACAGGTATTTTATGGGTTGAAAATCTCTTGCTAATGGTCAGCAGAGCCCTAGAACTTCAAGTAAACAATAATTTAAATAACTGTTTGTACAGAATCCCTGCACTGACAGGGAAAAGGCCAATGCAAATTATCAGGATGTACTCAGTAGACTAGTACTCTTATCTTAGATCAGGGATAAAACAATCAAAACTAAATGTTCCCAAGTGGACACCCCATAAAATAATTATTATATGGCATTTGTCAAATTTTAAAATGTTTAACAGCTCCTTTATGTTCTTGTTTTGTTTGTGGGACTTCAGTTCCAGGAAAAGAACTAGGTGGATTGCAAGGACTTATTAAATAAAAAAGAACAATCATTTAAATTACCAAGGGCATATAGTTCACCTTCTGGGTATTTCTGCTGATACGCAATACATATCAATCAAAGTAGATAATGACTACAATCAGAGGTTATTATGTATTCCTTTTTCTTTTTTTACTTTTTTAAAGAGATGGGGGTCTTTCTCTGTTGCCCAGGCTAGCCTTGAACTCCTAGGTTTAAGAGATCCTCCTGTCTCAGCCACCAAAGTGGCACGACCTGTCCTTGCAACTAGGTTGGGTTTGTTCTACTAGTTAATCATCATTCAACTCTTAATATTTGATAGCATTTCAATAATGGTCTGTTAAATCAATAAACATGTTAGCATACATGCAGGTTAGTGTCTGGCACACAGTAGGTACTCAATAATTATTTGTTAAAAAGAGTGCATGATTACCATGTGAATTTGCTTACTATAAAAAACCTATTTGATGTACAAAGAGTGAGTCTGAAATACACAAATACTCTCCTCCCCTGACAAATCTGGTAAATTTTATGCCCATTTCTCAGAATGGTTCACACATGGTGTTTTATTGTTTAAATACTGAATTAAATTTTGGTTTGAATGTACCTTAGCATAGTAAACGCTCAGTGTTTGCTAAAAAGTAATATACATACTCAGAAAGCCAAGCTGTTACTCCAACTTAACACCCCGCTCAGGGTCATGAACTGGACGCCTGCCAGCTCACACTTATCTGGTGATCACTACACCTTCTTAGATTCTATCCTACATTCGTTCCTAGCCAAATGAAAACCTTTTGAAAAAATCTTTCCTCTCAAGTGCCTCAAGGTCCCAGCTGTCACCAGAGCATCAAGGAGCTGGGGGGTGGTGACAGCTCCATCCTCCGCCTCCTCCAGGCGCGCCCAGGGGGCGAGTGGGCGGGCTCAAGGAACGGCCTTGTGGCTGTTCCCTATTGGAGCTTGGTTGCTATGGTGTCGCCGACCTTAAAACAACTTCTTCCGGAGGTTAAAAGAGAATTACTTCCAGGTCTGCCCGTAGTTGCCATGGCCGACTTAGTTGTCACTAATCTCAATAAAAATAAAACCTTTGCAGTGGGCTTCTAGGAAATCTTATTTAACCATTTAAGCTCCTGATTATGACGTAGTATCACAGTGTTCCTCCCCTTTCAAAATATTTATTATATATTTTTCGATTATTGGCCAGTCTCCAAAATGGCGCCGATGGCATCTGTAGGTCAGAGGTGAGTCACGTGGCCCCTCCCGGTTCCGGCGTGATAGAGGCCCCGGGTGGCGAACAAGTCTCCGGCACCATGTCTGGTTTGTCTGGCCCTGTAGCCCAGCGTGGCCCCCGCCCGTTGGCGTTGCTGTTGGCGTTCCTGCTCGGACCCAGCTCGGTCCTCGCCATCTCTTTCCATCTGCCCGTTAACTCCCGCAAGTGTCTCCGCGAGGAGATCCACAAGGACCTGCTAGTGACCGGCGCCTACGAGATCGCCGACCAGTCTGGGGGCGCTGGCGGCCTGCGCATCCACCTCAAGGTGCGCCACTGGGCGGTGCGGGGCTGGAGGGGAACCGGAGGCTTGGGCGTGGGGAGGCTTAGTCCCGGTAGTTCGGCCAGCGGAGGCCGGAGTTGACCTGGCCTTCCCCCGAGCGCGAAGGTCGCGCGGTGGGGACCGCCCCCTCACCCCGCTCGTTGGCGTTCGCGGGGCGGGGCCGGCGGCCGAGTCGGGAACCCTGGGGAGGCCGACGAGGCCTTGGCGGACGTGGTGGCTCTCGAGCTTGGGCGACCTCGACTTTGGGTAGTTTTCAGGACCCTATACCTTTGGCTCTCAGGTACCTTGAGCCGTAGTTCCGTTCTGCAAAGAAGTCTGATGTCGGGGATCTGTGGGGATTGGCATCTTACCCACGGGAAAATACTGGAGACAATAAAGCTTACCGTGATTAATAAAACTTGTTATTTATTGAGCATCTGCTGTGTCACTGCCTGTGCTGCTCTGCGTACGTTACCATAAGTTAGTGTGCACATCACCTTGCGAAGCAGGTGGATTCTGTTAGCCCTGTTTTACAAAGGAGGAAACTGAGGCTCAAGTAGAATAAACCGGTGTTACAGATGGTATTGCTTCTTAGGTTGGTAGCCGAGTATATTGGGAAAGTGCTGCCATCTCCTCCCCTTGCTTTTAATCTATAAACCCTGGAATTTATTAAAGACCATTATTGATCACAAAATGGTGTTTTTCCTTTGATAATGCTGGATGCCCAGACTCAGCTAAATCTCAGCTGTGCTCCTGGGTGATGACAGCTACTTTCCACTTTGATCTCATTTTGCAGTAAGAGTGGCCTGTACTGAATTTTGAATCTTTAATGTAGTTCCATATCAGTCAGGATTTGATTGTGTTTTAAGTAATTTTGCTCATTCACAATAAAAACAGTGGCGGTTTCTTTTTGACAGAATGGGGCTTTTCTTGGACAAAAAAGAAAAAAAAAAAGTTTTTATTTTTTAACAGACCTTAAGCTATTGGAAGATACAGGATAATGTAATTTGTATTGTATTTGGGAGATATAAACTGTTTTCAGAACTATTGTTTTGTGACCCATCCTTTATTATTATTCTCTTTGGGTAGTAAACTTCTGTCTACCCAAGAAAGTAGTGATGGAGAAATTTTAGAGGCAAAAAGGGTTTTGGAGGTGGTGTTTCTGGCTCTTCAGAGGATACAGTTCATCAAATAAATTGAGCAGTGAAAGAGACCTTGCTGTCATCTCTGGTGTAACCTTCTATTTTTTTTTTATTTTTATGTTTTTACACCTCTTCAATGGCTTGCTATTGCTCATCAAATAATTTGAATTTTCCAATATGCTTTGTAGTGCTTTTCACTTTCTGTTTCTAAAGCTTTTTATATTGCCACTTCCCATGAAGCTACCCTGAACAGTACCCTAAACTCATTGTTTTGCTATCTTTATTGTAACTACTCATGTTTATGCCTTGTTTTCCTTATTTAACTGTTAGTATTCTGTGGCAGGGATTACTTTCATGTTCATGTTTTCCAGAGTGCTAAATACATTGCCTTGCTTTTAGTAAGCATTCAATAAAAACGACCATAGTACAGCCTTGTGGGAATTATGTCTGGATCTAAGACTGCAGAAGGGACCTCAGCAGCAGGACTTTGTGCATCTGCACACTAGCATTTCACCACCTCTCTAATGTGTCTGTTGTGTTCTGTGGCTACTAACCAGTTAAATTGGACTACTAGGGTCCAAAACCCAAATGTCAAGTAGATAATATAAAGGAAGGAATTGGGAGGAAGGAAGGAAGGAAGGAATTGGGAGGAAGGAAGGAAGGAAGGAAATCCAATAGCAGGGTGAAAAATGGAGAATAACAAGCACATGAGTGCTTTTGTCACATCATTTTTCAAAAGAATGCAGAAACCTAGATTTTGATATGAAACTTTTGATTTAAATGTCACCAACTAATTCAAGTTAGTTTTGGCTTTGGTTTGCTTCCAGTGCTACAGTCTAGTGAGTCTACATTTATACTTTTTTTTTTAATACAATATCTTTATTTTTTTATTTTTATGTGGTGCTGGGGATCAAACCCAGTGCCTCACAGGTGCTAAGCGAGCATTCTACCACCTGAGCCACAACCCCAACCCCTTACATTTATACTTCTTAACCAGATTCAGCAATTGTCAGGGTCCATACATATTTTATCTGCATTGCTTTCCCTTTATTATTTTATGTTAAATTACTTTATTTTTAGTTGTTGATAGATTTTTATTTTATTTATTGATACGTGGTGCTGAGTATCGAACCCAGTGCCTCACACATGCCGGGCAAGTGCGCTACCGCTGAGCTAAAACCTCAGCCCTTTATGTTAAATTATTTTAAAGTAAATCCCAGATATCATGGTATTTCAGTCCTGCATACTTCAGCATGAATCTCTTTGAAAATATGAACATAACCACAGTATTGTTATAATCACACCTTGCAAAATGAACATTGAAACTGGGCACAGTGGTGTGTGTTTATAATCCCAGATACTTGGGAGACAGGCAGAAGGAGTGCAATTTAGTTTGGAGCTAGCTTGGGCAACATAACAAGACCCTGTCTCTTCAAAAAGAACTGAGGCTGGGGCTGGAGTTGTGGCTCAGTGGCAGAGCATTTGCCTAGCATGTGTGAGGCACTGTTTCGATTCTCAGCACCACATAGCAATTAAAAAAAAAAAAAGGTCCATTGACAACTAAAAAAAAAAAAAAAAAGAACTGAGGCTGAGGAGGAGGATCACTTGAGTCCACAAGTTCAAGACCAGGCTGGACAGGTTGCTCATCGAATAATTTGAATTTTCCAAAATGAAAGTGAGAACCCTTTCTCAAAAAAAACACCTTTTTTTAAAAAATTTTTTTTGATGATTCCTTAATATTATCTAATACCTAGTACATAGTAACATTTTCCCACTTGTTTCAAAAAATATCTATTTAAAAAATTCCTTTGTAGCTCTGTGAGGTGGCAGCATGCCTGCAACACCAGCTACTTTCAAGGAAGGAGGATGGCAAGTTCGTGGCCAGCCTGGGCACCTTTGCAAGACTGTGTCTCAAAAAGGGCTGAGGATGTGGCTCAGTGATAAAGCACCCATGGATTCAATCCTTAGTACCAAAAAAGTGTCTCAGGTCACTTATCTAGAGTAGTCTACTTTTCCCCCACCTCTTTTTTAGGGGTAGGGGGAGTTACTAGGAATTGAACTCGGGCGCTTGACCCCAATGAGCCACATCCCCAGCCCTATTTTGTGAAACAGGGTCTCACTGAGTTGCCTAGTACTTTTGCTTTTGCTGAGGCTGGCTTTGAATTCTCAATCCTGCTTCAGCCTCCTGAGCCGCTGGGATTACAGGCGTGTGCCACACCAGGCTTTTTTTTTTTTTTTAATAGAGCTTATAGTTTTATTGTTGGGAGGCAGTTGTCCTTAAAGAATGTTCCACCTTTTGGATTTGTCTTGTTTTCTTCCTTGATGTATCATTTAACTAATCCAGCTCCCTATATTTCTTATAAAAATAATGTTATAAAGATGTAATCCCATTGTTTTTTTTCTTGGTAAGGGTACTTGTGGCTGGTGCTGTGTTTCTTGTGGCATTGCAATAGGAATACTCAGTACTTTTTGTGCCTCTTAGTGCTATAAAGACGATCAGTAGGTTGAGATGTGTTTAAGTGGCCTCCTGCACCACAGATTGCCACAGTATTAACAGACAATTATCTTAAGAGATCTGAAGTCAGAATTCCTAATATCAAGTTGTTAATAAGGCTGTGTTCCTTCTGGAGAATCACTTTCCTTGCCTTGTCCAGCTTCTTGAGGCCATCTATACATTCTTTGGCACTTGGTTCACCATGTCTCTTTCTTCAAAGCCATTAGCATAGTGTCTTTCCCTGTTCTGTCCCTCTCCTTTCCTTCTTTGAAGCCTCCCTCCCGTCCTCCTTCCCTCTTCCCCACTTCCATCATCCCATTTTCCCTGACTCTCCTGCCTTGCTCTTTCTCTTATAAGGACCCTCATGATAACCCCCCATCTCAAAACCCTTAATTTAATCATATCTGCAAAATCTGGTTTCATATAAAATAATATTTTCACAGGTTCTGGAGGTTAGGATGTCAGCATCTTGGAGGGGATCATTTTTCTGCCTGTCTAGGTGGTAACAGCTTGAAGCCTCCATTGTAAAGTTTTTTTTTTTTTGGGGGGGGGAGCAGTACTGGGGATTGAACTCAGGGGATCTCAACCACTGAGCCACACCCCAAGCCCTATTTTGTATTTCATTTAGAGACAGGGTTTCACTGAGTTGCTTAGGGCCTAGCTTTTGCTGAGGCTGGCTTTTGTTATCTTCCTGCCTCAGCTTCCGGAGCTGCTGGGATTACAGGCGTGTACCACTATGAGTTTGCTATTAATCTTTCACTTAGGAATCCATTGGTGACTAGTATGAATCTATTCATTAAGGTTGTGAAATGATGATTTTCTAATTCTGATATTTCTAAGGAATTCATGAAGTAAGACCATTTGATTATCTACATATGGTTTAAAACATTTTCACTCGTAATTTCCAGTGTGAGTGTGAATCAATAAGGGATTTGGGTTTGTTTTCTTACCTTTTTTTTTTTAAAGTATTTTACTGATCTCTCTTTATTGTTTCGATTTTTAGAGTCTATGTTTTATTCAGTTTGCATCTGTAAAAAAAAATTGTTCCTTTAGCCCCTTCATATTGGCTTCTGTATCCTTTTGATACAATCCTATTAGTTTTGATAACTTCTTCATTTTCTGGCACCACAAGATGTCCTATGGTTATCTTTTTTTGTTTGGTTATACTGGGGATTGAACCCAGGGCCTGACGCATGCTAGGCAAAGACTCTACCACTTAGCCATATCCCTTTTAGATTTTATTCTGAGACAGGGTCTCACTAAGTTACCCCTTGAACTTGGGATCCTCCTGCCTCAGCCTCTTGGTAGCTGGGATTACAGGCATTTACCACCACCACACCCAGCCCCTAGACTTATCTTACATTTATCAT